TTCACCACAGCACCATGGAACGAAGTGCAGATCTGCTGCTTCACACGTTTGCTATTCCCAATTCGGGGCGCAGGGTGCGGCTCAGGGAGGGAACAGACTATAGCCCATCTGTTGAGGCAGAGAACGGATTTAGCAAGACAAGCGTGGGAGCTGAGCAAGTAAAATCCCAGTCATCCTAGCACTTACCCTACTCATTTTGCACTTCCCATGATCAGCTGGCTGGTCTGTCCCCTATACCAACCAGGGATTGGAGGGTTTCTTGCTGGCAGTTGCATTTTTTTCCCCCTGCAGCTCAAGCAAATTCATTCTTTTCTGTACACCCCACTGCTGCGTAGCCAGGCACACGTGCCAGGCAGTCTGCTGGGGGCTTCCCTGGACCTTTCCTCCCAGTCTTTTATTTTTTCTGAGAGGGGTCTAATTAGCTTGATCTTTGCCCTGACCCAGAAGAGCTTTGCTAAATTCATCCAGCCCATGGTTAGGCAAAATACAACAGCGTAACAACTTCAGCAAGGAGTCACATACTGAGTATTCTTATTTCATGCTTTAACACATGTAACATCTACATCACTTCTCCTTTCCATATACAAGATATCTATGCACACTCCTAACAGACAACTCCTCCTGGCAAAGGCTCGCTATACTGATTGGACTGCAGGTCCACTGAATCCAAATAACGCATGCAGTCATCTTCTGCAAAATCAGGATGGTAAGTACAGGTCATTAATACAATTCTGTACACATCTTTACATGTATTTTCCTTGGATATGAGATTCAAAACACAAGTGTTGTAAATTGAAGTCTCCTTCCTTTACCTCTGCCTGCCATAAATGAATCTCAGCTGAAGTTTGGAAGATTAATTCATAACTACAGCTCCACTCGGTGCTATTCAGTTGTGCCCTATTTGGTGCCTGTATCAGAGAATCACAAGCTATAAAAATCAGTATATTTTAGTAATTTCTGAGGGCCAAGAAAGGGCATTTTCAGCTTGGAGGATTTAGTATTTTTTGGTATTTTATTATTATTGTATTAGCTTTTAAAGAACAGAAATCAAAGCTTTTGTATATGTGTGCATGTGTGTGTATATATATATCCTCCACATTCCGTATGAACATAAAGTTTCTCAAACACATTGTTAGATTTTCTACAGTGCTTCTCCATCCCCACTAGCATCAAGCAGGTTTTTTTAACTTTATGGCTAATATAACAACTTTGATAGACCTATTCAAATAGATTTGGAGTCAGATAAACTCAAAGACCAAAGGAATCATAATGGTAATTTCACCTAGCTTCCAGTTTGATACCAGCCACAGTATTATCTACAACATTTATTTTATCTAAATATTTTAATCTTTATCGGTGGAGCTCTGGCTGTAATAATTCACAAAAGATAATGACTGCAACTCAACTTTCATTTTCCAGTACTTAAAATCTAGTTCTCTTCTGTTCTGCTGATGTGAGAGTGGTTATTTTTAACTACAATAACTCATTATCAAACAATCATGGTGATCTACTTTGTTTGGCAAGGGATATATCAGCTTTCTTTGCTGGCTACTTGCCACTGTAATACTATTTCCAACATGCAACTTTCACTTTCAGGAAGACTCTAAGAGGAATAAAGCCTGCATCTCACATTTTGCAGCTATAAATCCTCAATCCAGATCTTATCTCTTTACTCCTGACAGTAGGGATGGGACGTGGACAGGGCTGGTTAACGTAAAAACTGAAGACCAGGGATTTTTCACCAAGGTAATGAGGAGCTCTCCATATCTTCATGTACAATTTATGCTTTTCTAATTGTTAATTAACAAGGCAAAGCCATAGGCATACAGGCACTTGAATTTCAAGCCTTTACACTCAGAACAGAATTTACTGAAAAGTTGTCCCAAGGTTGTTCCTTGAAATCCATCCAGAACTCTAGCAGAAACAATTGGCAACAGCTTAAAGGGAGTTTTAAGAAACAAACAAAAATATAAGCCCAGATGCCACGCTAGCCTGAAATAACCCACAAATGCCTTTGAGATACTTGACAGGACTCATCTATTGAGAAGTAATGTAGAGGAATTATGGGCTTCAGACCTTCTGATGTCCGTGTGCATGCAGGGGTAAGAAGGGGGAGTTCTTGTCCATTGCATCAAAGACACTCTTTGTACAGCTACAGAGTTTGGAATAAAAGGTGACTCTTTGTACCTGTATAAATAAAGCTATGTTTAGACAGTGAAACAAGTCCATAATTAAATGTTCCTCATTATAATTTTCTTAGCAGTAACAGTGTTTGTTAACAACAGTTCTACTATCTTACTTGCACAAATAATGTATTTTCTTTTACACTTGTTAGAGAAAGATTTTCTTTGGGCCTTTTAACACGATCCTATTCCTTTTTATTGCTACAAAACAAAGAAAACCAAGAGTTACTTATACATCTAAGATGGCTGTTTCACATCATCTCATCACGGTCATCTGTGACATAAGGATTACTCCTGCATAAATGGGCTGGTGCTGTAAGGAGACTACAATTTCCCTGCAGGAGCCAGCAGAAGCAGCTGAACCGGTTTGTCAAGATAAAAGCTATGATAATTAGCAAGGACATTGCCATCTGAATCTGAACAGGATTCCTGTGGCTGGAAGTGGGTTTAAGTGTCAGAAGCATCATTAATCATTGCTATGCTTTCTTGTGTGAACTTACCCAGGTTGCAACTGGGTCAGGAAACAGTTGTCCCCTCTGGGAAGTGAAGCCAAGGTGCTCTCTTGGAGCCCCAGCTGCAGTTACAGTTAAAGGCCAGAAACACAGGAAGTCTACAGATGACCTCAGATATTTTAAAATGCAAGGAAGGATGCAGTTACAGCACATGGTACAACCACCTATTTTCTGCTTGACTATCTTCTAGCTGTGACCACACATGCATGTGCTTCACCGAAAGCTGAAGTATTTAACATGCAAGTGCAATTTTTGTTTCACATGTAAGGAAATAAACTTGTTTACTTCCATTACAGCAAGACCATCTTAATATGGAGGCAATAAGCTTACTATTCAAATATGAGAAATGTTTAATTGTCTTTGCTTGGAAGATGACCATTGTGCTGGTTTGACACACCTTTCACAAAAAAAAAAAATGTATGAAATAAACTTTACAATATCCAGGTCTTATATTCTTATTACCATATTGTCTGGGGTAATAGTAGGGGAAGGGTTTCATAAGCATGTCTGTCTTCTGCATCAAGACAATTTCCAGACACAGAGAACTCTCTTGTGAATCGTACAACAGATGAGTCTTACCACAGTAATTTATTTCTTAAAAATCTAGTTTATTGCACTTGTCTCAAAGCACAAACAAAATCAAAAACCTAAATACAGAAATAAAAATAAAAACCCCATCCTAATTTCATTAAAACTACCCTAAAAAGTAGTCTGGTAAGAGCTCTTGACACCAATTTAATATTAATGACCATAGCAAGGTACAGTATTATACAGTAAACAACTAGCAAGCTCAAGCCATTACTAAGATGACTTTGAAAAATGTAATACAAAAGTGTAACTATTAAATAATGCCATTGTACTTGAGCATCTGGTGCTTGGCAGGGCACTGAGACGTACTCACGCCCGTTCTCCAAAGTGATTGACTCAGGAGCTGCCACAAGATAACTTTTAAACTGAGTTTCAGCTGCTTTGGGGTCCTCAAGATACCAAGCTATGCTTGCATAAAACAGACTGGGTTACTTCACAAGCTGATTCCATTACGATCCACTGCCAGACAGGCTAAAAAAACCCTCTGGGGTAATCTCCATGTACGATGAGATAGCAATGAAGCAAACATGTCATCTGTAAAAGGGAAATAAATCTGTCCTTCCTGTAAGACTGAAAGACCAGACTGAGAACTGGCAGCCAATATCACAAGTGCTACTAAAAAAGCCAGTGACATAACTTGATTCTCTCTCCACAGATTCACATTCTCACCTTGCACCATGTTTGTTCCAAGTTTAGTGCAGTACACGCATGAATTATTCTGAAAGAGAACAGAGGTTAAAAAGAAAACACATCCTTTTCTGTATGTATTAAGTTCTCAGAACAGAAACATCCCCACTTTTCAACTCCTGGTCTTTTCTGAAGCTGGCTCTTTTACAATATTGGTTAGCAGCTGCTTAAAACATTTTGATGATTTATAAGCTTAAAATGAACACAAAATAACTCCTCCGCCTACATACTGAACTCAAGTTCTCTCATCTATAGTTCTATTGCTTAAAAAAGATGAGGTATCTTTCGAAGAAGATTTAAAGAAAAATAAACTGCAATGATTAACTTAGGTTACTTCCCAGTTCATCACACACCTCTGCTGCAACATCTGTTAAGTATAAGACACTTCAAAATGTAGCTAACATAGCTAAAAATCAGAATATTGTTAAGTATTTTCTCACAATATCACAATTTTTAATGGGATATATAGGCAATTCTATCAATTACCATTTTTCCTTTTAATACATCTAAGTTTGGTACTCAAAATAATTTGAGTCCAAATGTTAAAGCACTGGCTGGAGGCACAAATACAGCACAACAGGAATTATGAAAGC